CCCTAAAGGCGAGGGCGCGGTGCAGGGCCCGCGGAGCGCTGCGGGGCGGGGCCCGGTATTTGCAAGGGAGAGAAAAGCCCGACAGAACCCGGTGCCTGCATGCCATGGTGTTGGGGCACTCTCGTCCACCCCTGTGCCTGCGGTGACGTGACACGCCATTGTGACATCATCCCTTCCCTTGTGATGTAACCCAGAGGCGAGACTATCGGGGAGTGTTAGGCTGTGGGGCCTCCCGAGGTCTCGTGGCCTCCCACCCCCTTTCCACCCGTAGAATGGCCTCACCCCTTCGGGGAAAGACCGCTTCGCCCCTGGTGGAAACCACCCGCTACAAGGAGACATCGACGGTCCGCGTGGAGACCTCGTCCCACCGCGTGGAGACCTCCTCCCGGCGGGTGCACACGTCTTCCCGGCAGGTGGAGACCACCCAGGTCCCCTCTGGGAAGCGGCTTCCTCGCATCCTCGAGGTGTCCTCCCAGCACGTGGAGACCTCCTCGCAGCGCACAGAAACGTCCTCCCGCCACGTCAGGGCCTCGTCCTTGCGCGTGGAGACGTCTCTGCACCGCGTGGAGAGCCCTCCCCGGAGGGACAAGACGGCAGCCAGCCAGAATGTAAAAATGTCCCGATGAAACACTTCCCAAAGGCCACGAAAGGGCCATGGCCCTCGGCCAGGACCACATTGCCTCCAGTTTGCAGCCACCAAGCTGCCAGGTGGACCAATCAGAGCAACCGCCTATACATCAGCCTAAGAAAGGCCAATCTGCAGTTTCCGGACTCAGCCAACATTTATTGCCCACGCTGCACCTTGGACCTCCCTGCCTTTGACCCAGGCAACTGTTTTAACTGGAAGCCAGCACAAGTGTCCAGGTCCATTCTCCTGTATAAATTGAGTTGATGGATAAGAGGCTGTTTGAACCTCTGAACCAGGTGAGTTTGAGATTCATAGTCACCTCACTGCCTAGGGACAGGATGCAACCAGAAATGATGCCAGTAGGATGATTATATGCCTGCTAAAAACCTGAGGGGCGTGGAACAGACTTTCACTCATTCAGTAATTGGCCTTTGTTTGTTTCAAAATAAGCAGGTTTTGGGTTTGTTTTTTTGTACTAAGCCCTGTACATGGTAACCCCAGCTGTACTTTTTAACATAGTTCTAATATAGTTAGAAATGAAGGTCACCAATTAAGAATAATCTTAGAGCCCTGACCGGTTTGGCTCAGTGGATAGAGCGTCAGCCTGCAGACTCAAGGGTCCCAGGTTCGATTCCAGTCAAGGGCATGTACCTTGGTTGCGGGCACATCTCCAGTAGCGGGTGTGCAGGAGGCAGCTGATCAATGTTTCTAACTCTCTATCCCTCTCCCTTCCTCTCTGGAAAAAATCAATAAAATATTTTTTTTAAAAAAGAATAATCTTAGAGCCCTAGCTGGTTTGGCTCAGTGGCTAAAGCATCGGCCTGTAGACTGAAGGGTCCCGGGTTGCATTCCAGTCAAGGAGCACATGCCTGGGTTGCAGGCTCGATCCCCAATAGGGGGCGTGCAGGAGGCAGCTGATCAATGATTCTCTCATTGATGTTTCTATCTCTCCCTTTCCCTCCCTTTCTGCAGTCAATTAAATTAAAATGAACAAAGTAAGATATTTTCTTTAAAAAAAAAAAAAAAGAATAATCTTAGAGCAGTGGTTCTCAACCTTCCTAATGCCGCGACCCTTTAATACAGTTCCTCATGTTGTGGTGATCCCCAACCATAAAATTATTTTCGTTGCCACTTCATAACTGTAATTTTGCTACTGTTATGAATCATAATATAAATATCTGATATGCAGGATGTATTTTCATTGTTACAAATTGAACATAATTAAAGCATAGTGATTCATCACAAAAACAATATGTAATTATATATGTGTTTTCCAATGGTCTTAGGCGACCACTGTGAAAGGGTTGTTCGACCTCCAGAGGGGTTGCAACCCACAGGTTGGCGACCCACAGGTTGAGAACCGCTGTCTTAGAGCCTTGGCTGGTGTGGCTCAGTGGGTTGAGCATCAAAGGGTCTCTGGTTCGATTCCCAGTCAGGGCACATGCACAGGTTGCCAGTTCGATCCTTCGTTGGGATGTGTGCAGAGAATAATCTTAGAAGGAAAAATTGACCTGAGATCTGAGGAGGTGGAGGGGAGGACATTTTGAGTACCTACTCTACCCCGGATGGTATTCTAGCACTAGAGCTATAGCAGAGAGCCAGATAGACAGGGTCTGGCTCTCCAGGAGAACAAGACAGTTCCCTATTGTGATTAGCACTGTGGAGGAAATGAACCAGTAATGTGGTAGAGAATGGAGGTCAGTGGGCTCTTCAGATAGGATGGTCAGGGATGGCTTTGCTGACTAAGCACCATTGGAGCTGAGATTTCTGTGCATGAACAGTGTGAGCCATGCAAAGACCTGGAAAGAGTGTATTCTAGGCAGAGGGAACAGCAAGTGCAAAGAGTGGATGGGTGCAAGCTTGGAATGTTTAAGGACCAGAAAAACCCGTGTGGCTGGAGTTTAACGAGGGAGAGTCATGGTATGGAAGAGAGGATGTTAGAAAAGTAGGCAGGAGCCAGTTCATAGAGGTCTTGTAAGCCAGGCAAGGAGGGGTTTTACTGTAAGGTCAATGGAGAGACGTTGGAGGGTTTTCAGCCCAAGAGTGACATGATGCAATTTATATTTTTAAAATATCCTGCCTTCTGTGTGTAGGATGCAGGGCCGTGGTTCTCAGCTGGGGGGTGGTTCTGTCCCCTCACGATGTCTAAAGACATTTTTGTTTGTCACAGTTTGGGCGGGGGATGGGGGAGAGTTTTGGCTACTGGCATCTGGTGGTTGGAGGCAAGGGATGCTGCTAAACATCCTACAGTTCATGAGACAGCCCCTCCCCACCATATACACCAAACAAAGAATTACTTAGCCCAATATATCAATAGTGTGATATTGAGAAAACCTGATGATGTAGGGGACAAGCAAGAAAACAAGAACTAGTTAGGAAGCGAATGCCGTGGTCTGGTAAGAAATGATAGTGGCTCATACTAGGAGTGGAGCTAGAGAAAAGAGGCAGATTAGGGATGGGTTTAGAGGCAGAGCTGACATGACCGATGGATATGGAGGTGAGGGAAGGAGGAATAGAAGAATCAAGGATGACTTCAGTTTGGGCTTGAGCAATTTGTTGTACGGTGGTCTGGCCGTTTATGAGAAATACCGGAGGAGGATCAGGTTTAGGAGGGAAAATCAGTTCCGTTTTGGCCATGCTGAGTTTGAGGTTCCTGTATAAGACCCAAATGGAGACATGGAGTGGCAGTTGAATGCAAGAAGCTGGCTACCATGAGGGAGGTGAGGATTGGAAATATAAAATGTGGGCCGTGGCTGGTGTGGCTCAGTGGTTGGAGTGCTGGCCGGAGCACTGGGGAATCACGGGTTCAATTCCTGGTCGAGGGCAGGTGAGGATTAACAACAACAAAGAAATATAAAATGTGGGGTCATCAGTACACAGATGGTATTTAAAGCCATAGGACTAAGCAGCTATCGTCTGCCAGCCTGTCTCACTCATTTTATGCTGCCCGAGTGAATTTGAGATCTTGTTCTTCAGGGAAAACTGAACACCTCTTCCCTCCCTCTCATCCCCACAGGGCCTGGCTTGACCTACCTAATTTTTCCTTGCCTGTTGTCCTTTGGCAGCCACCCATAAGTGAGAACATTTGCACTAAAATGTTAGATAAATGCTTCAGGAAACTTGACTTTTACGCGTCTTAAAACAAAGTTTAAAAGTTCAAGTTTTGTGGGGAGATTTTTGGTGGTGGAGGTGGGGCACATGGACATTAATGTGTAGTCCTAGCCCCAGGTTCTTATGGGATAGCTGAAGAACAACGAAATTGATCTATGACAGTGGTTCTGAACTGGGGACAATTTTGCCCCACAGTGGACACTTAGCAATGTCTGGAGATATTTTTGTCACAACTGTGGGGGTTGGATACTGCTAGCATCTAGTGGGTAAAGTTTTGGCTTGAGCAGTTTGGTATGTTGTATGCCACCAAACATCCTACAATGCACAGGTTACCCCCTACCCAACCCCTGACAACAAAGAAACACTGGGTCCGAAATCTCTAGAGGACCAAGGTTGAAAAACCCTGAAGATTCTAAAGCATGATCCATTGAGGAAGCACCCCACTCATCATAGGATTATGCTATGGGAGAGGTTTAGAGGTAGTGAACTATGTCACATCTCAGGCAGGAGCTCTCAGAGGAGAGGGATATATTGCCCTTTGAGGAGACCATACATCTCTGCTTTCAATAATTTATGTGATATTTACCCCAGGAGGAAGCTGATCCCCATCTAACAGGAGGTAATTGACCTTGATTCTGTGGGACCTTTTTGTGAGGTAGAGTACTAGCTGGTTCCAGACACTGTGCGAAGTCATCACCCACATGACTTCATTTAATTACAGGGGAGGGCACTGGGCTGCCCAGTAGAATAGGGGCTCAGGCAAGAGGAAAGTTACAAACACAGAGGCTCCCCTCATGCTCCTGCCTCAAAAAACTTCTGCTGTAAACTAATAATTAGACTTTGGCATTTTGGTCTTCAGGGAGCTTACTGGTTCTTGTAAATATGACAGACCATGTACATTATATACAAACACTCTCTTGACCAGTGTTTTTTTGTGTGTTTTAAATGAATAAGGTAGTTGCTTTCTGTATCAATGTTCTTTATTAATGTATATTACAGAAGTGATATGTGCTTAATGTAACAGATGAAATAATTCAAAGATGTGTAAAGAAAATTTAATAATTTGTCATCATCCCTTTCCATTTTCATCCTTTGGAAATAGTGTCAGCAACCTGGAGTATATCCTTCTAGACTTTACTGTGTTAACTGCTTTGATTCCCCCTTCTTAGTAGTACCTGTAAGACTGGTTGGAAGGTTACTGTGAAAAAGCCAAACGCTAGGTTTCTAGATGATTGATTCTCCTGGGAGGATACAGAACTATGGTACCTTCTTTCTTTTTGTTATCCTTGTTACCTAGGTTTCTTCCTCCAAATTTCATTTATCCATGTTTCAAAGCAAAAAGACAGGAGACGTGAAGAAAAGGATGTTGACAAGATAATTGCCATACATACTGGTTTACACATCAGATCCCACAGCTCAAGATGATCCTGTATATTAAAGCAGCTTACATCTGTCACAGTTTAAATGTACCTGCTGCATATAAGAAGCGTGTGCTGCGCATATTGTGTGTCAGCATTCTCCCCACAGAGTCCTCTCTCGGAAGCTTCAAAGGAGCCCAGGTGCTGTTGTACCTGTGACCTGGTATATAATGCTGAGCACTTGTGTGCAATGAAGAGCAGAGCGCAATACTGTCCCCTCCATTGCCAGCCAAGAAAGCCGCTAATGGCTCCATCTACTAATCCCTCGGATTTGTTGAGCTAGGAAATAGCTGTCATTTGCCTTCGGTTGTTGCCAATCAGGTCACTTAGAAAAATTAAATAAGTACAAGGCAGCACCTGTCATTCTCCCCATAATCCGTTCATTTACATATGAGCTAAGGGCAGCTTACAAAATTCACATCTATATTTGCTGTCAGTTGTTGAAAATGCTTCAAGTGAAAGACTATTGTTAATAGAATATTCTTTCCCCAGATCACACAAGTCAGGGGAAGAATTAAGAGCCTGACCAGCAAGGTATTTGGCTCAAGTTCTCATTTAGATCTCCTAGGATTCTGGGTCCTCCATCCTTGCTATTGCTCCCATCCCAGTATGGCTAGTACCAGTGCCCAAGCCCTGGATAGTTGACCCAGCCTCCATGGTTCCAAGTGCTTATATGGGTTCAACATGTTAATAGGCTGGGAAAAAAGTCACTGTTTAAACTTTTTTTTTTCCAAAACAGTTGACCTTCATGGTACAGATGGAAAAACTGAAGTCCAGAGAAGACAAAATAACTTGCCACCCTGCCCAGTAGAATAGGGGCTCAGGCAAGAGGAAAGTTACAAACACAGAGGCTCCCCTCATGCTCCTGCCTCAAAAAACTTCTGCTGTAAACTAATAATTAGACTTTGGCATTTTGGTCTTCAGGGAGCTTACTGGTTCTTGTAAATATGACAGACCATGTACATTATATACAAACACTCTCTTGACCAGTGTTTTTTTGTGTGTTTTAAATGAATAAGGTAGTTGCTTTCTGTATCAATGTTCTTTATTAATGTATATTACAGAAGTGATATGTGCTTAATGTAACAGATGAAATAATTCAAAGATCTGTAAAGAAAATTTAATAATTTGTCATCATCCCTCTCCATTTTCATCCTTTGGAAATAGTGTCAGCAACCTGGAGTATATCCTTCTAGACTTTACTGTGTTAACTGCTTTGATTCCCCCTTCTTAGTAGTACCTGTAAGACTGGTTGGAAGGTTACTGTGAAAAAGCCAAACACTTGGTTTCTAGATGATTGATTCTCCTGGGAGGATACAGAACTATGGTACCTTCTTTCTTTTTGTTATCCTTGTTACCTAGGTTTCTTCCTCCAAATTTCATTTATCCATGTTTCAAAGCAAAAAGACAGGAGACGTGAAGAAAAGGATGTTGACAAGATAATTGCCATACATACTGGTTTACACATCAGATCCCACAGCTCGAGATGATCCTGTATATTAAAGCAGCTTATATCTGTCACAGTTTTAATGTACCTGCTGCATATAATAAGCGTGTGCTGCGCATATTGTGTGTCAGCATTCTCCCCACAGAGTCCTCTCTTGGAAGCTTCAAAGGAGCCCAGGTGCTGTTGTACCTGTGACCTGGTATATAATGCTGAGCACTTGTGTGCAATGAAGAGCAGAGCGCAATACTGTCCCCTCCATTGCCAGCCAAGAAAGCCGCTAATGGCTCCATCTACTAATCCCTCGGATTTGTTGAGCTAGGAAATAGCTGTCATTTGCCTTGGGTTGTTGCCAATCAGGTCACTTAGAAAAATTAAATAAGTACAAGTCAGCACCTGTCATTCTCCCCATAATCCGTTCATTTACATATAAGCTGAGGGCAGCTTACAAAATTCACATCTATATTTGCTGTCAGTTGTTGAAAATGCTTCAAGTGAAAGACTATTGTTAATAGAATATTCTTTCCCCAGATCACACAAGTCAGGGGAAGAATTAAGAGCCTGACCAGCAAGGTATTTGGCTCAAGTTCTCATTTAGATCTCCTAGGATTCTGGGTCCTCCATCCTTGCTATTGCTCCCATCCCAGTATGGCTAGTACCAGTGCCCAAGCCCTGGATAGTTGACCCAGCCTCCATGGTTCCAAGTGCTTATATGGGTTCAACATGTTAATAGGCTGGGAAAAAAGTCACTGTTTAAACTTTTTTTTTTCCAAAACAGTTGACCTTCATGGTACAGATGGAAAAACTGAAGTCCAGAGAAGCCAAAATAACTTGCCACCACTATCCACTTGCAACCACTATTTACTGCCTCCCAGGATGGTTTCTTTTGATAACCATATAAAGGTAGGTGTAGTGTCCTTATGTTTAATTTACAGTGAGCATAATAGATGATACTAAAAAGAGAAAAAGAAGAAATAGAGACTCTTTATATGAAATCCTGCAAAGCACTGTCATTCCTGTGAGGCCCCAAAAACATCTCGTTAGTATTTGGAAGCTCTGTTATCAGGTGCATAAACATTTAGCATCATCATTTCTGTTTGGTAAATTGGCCCCTTTATCATTATAAAATGACTTTTTTGTATCCTCCTCTGAGGATACTTTTCCATTGATTTTTATTATTTTACTAGAGGCCCGGTGCACGAAATTCATGCACGGGGGCGGGGGGTCCTCCCTCAGCCCAACCTGCACCTTCTCCAATCCGGGACCCCTCGGTGGATGTCCGACTGCCAGGATCGGACTTAAACCGGCAGTCGGACATCCCTCTCACAATCCAGGACCACTGGCTCCTAACTGCTCACTTGCCTGCCTGCCTGATCGCCCCTAACTGCCCCCCCTGCTGGCCTGGTCAACCCTAACTGCCCCCTCCCTGCCGGCCTGGTCGTTCCTAATTGCCCCCACCCCCCACCAGCCTGGTTACCCCTTACTGCCCCCCCTGCCAGCCTGGTCACCCCTCACTGCCCCCTCTGCCGACCCCTATAGAAAATCTGCCTTTTCAAAATAAGATAGATTTACAAAAATTGTCTCACCTCTTTCTCTCCATCATTGCTTGCTTTTTCTATTTTTCTCTCCAATTCCCATCCCCTAACTCTCCCAGGTTCTTATTGCCAACAATGGCATTGCAGCAGTGAAATGCATGCGGTCTATCCGTCGGTGGTCCTACGAGATGTTTCGAAATGAACGTGCAATCCGATTTGTTGTCATGGTCACACCTGAAGACCTTAAAGCCAATGCAGGTGAGTTATTTGCATTAAGAAAGCATCACTCTAGAGCAGCCGTGGGCAAGGATCCGGCCCTTTTGAAATGAATAAAACTAAAAAAAAAAAGACCGTACCCTTTTATTTAATGATGTTTACTTTGAATTTATATTAGTTCACACAAACACTCCATCCATGCTTTTGTTCCAGCCCTCCGGTCCAGTTTAAGAACCCATTGTGGCCCTCGAGTCAAAAAGTTTGCCCACCCCTGCTCTATCCACTGAGCCAAACCAGCTAGAGCTCCATTGATTTTTAGAGTGGAAAGGGGGAAGGAGGAGGAGAGAGAGAAAAAAAAAAAAGCCCCCACAAAACATCGACATGAAAGACACATCGATTGGTTGTCTCCCAGCAACTGAGGTACATGCTCTTAATCCCTTAACTGGGAATCAAACCCAGGACCCTTCGGTCTGACACTCTAACCACTGAGCAATCTGGCCATGGCTGAAGTGACTTTCTTGTTTCCCGATAATATTCTTTACTCTGAAGTCTATTCTATTTGATATGCCCCCACAAAACATCGACATGAAAGAGACACATCGATTGGTTGTCTCCCAGCAACCGAGGTACATGCTGGTAATCCCTTAACTGGGAATCAAACCCAGGACCCTTCGGTCTGAGGGCTGACACTCTAATCACTGAGCAATCTGGCCATGGCTGAAATGACTTTCTTGTTTCCCAATAATATTCTTTACTCTGAAGTCTATTCTATTTGATATTAACATAGGAACTCCAGTTTCCTTTTTAAAAAATCTTTATTGTTGAGAGTATTACAGATGTTCTATTTTCCCCCCATTGCCCCCCTCCACCTGGTTTCTGCCCTGCCCCATCCAGCTTTCTTTCTATTATTGTTAGGATGGTGCACCTTTCCCCACCCTTTTACTTTCAGCCTACTTGTATCTTTATATTTAAAATGGATTTGTTGTATTATATAGTTGGATCTTGGTGCTTTTTAAATCCAACCTAATAATTTTTGCTAATATGGGAATCTTTATACAATTTATGTTTTCTCTAATTATTCATATAGTTGGGTTTAAATTTAGCTGTTTGTTTTCTATTTGTTCGTTTTAGTCTTTGTTTCCTTTTCTTCCTTTTGTGTTAATTTAATATTTTTTAATTAGTTCATCTCCTTTGTTGGCTTATTTACTCTTTTTGTTTTATCTTAGTAGTTTCAGTAGGGTTTATAGTATACATTTTTAACATCATATTCTACCTTCACATGATGTTATGTTACTTGACATCTATAATAATAAAAGTGTAATATGCAAATCAACCAAACGGCCGAACGGTGGAACAAACGTCGGACTACCGTGCTATGACACCCACTGGTGCCAGGCCAGCCAAGGTGGGTGTGATGCGATTGGTCAGAACATGGCCATCGCCCCATGATTGCCCTGCAGAGGGAGGCCCAGGCCACTGACCGGTGAGCTGTGGCGGGTGGGCAGGGCCTCGGGCCTCCCTCTTCGGGGGTCCAAGACTGTGAGAGGGCACAGGCCGGGCTGAGGGGCCTTCCCCCCCCACTCCTCAGTGCATGATTTCATGCACTGGGCCTCTAGTATAGTACAAGAACCTTACAAAAGTATACTTCCATTTTTCCTGACCTTTTTTCTATTGTTGTCACTCTATACAAAGGCTTCTGTATGACTTCTTTGACTGTGTCTGTATATCATTAGTTTTAAGCAATTAGATTATGATGAGCCTTTGTGTGGTTTTCTTCATCCTCTAGTATAGTACAAGAACCTTACAAAAGTATACTTCCATTTTTCCTGACCTTTTTTCTATTGTTGTCATACATGTTACAAACCTCACAGTACACTGTTAGCATATTTGCTTTAAACAGTTGATTAGCTTTTAAAGAAATTTAAATAATTTTTTAAAGCTCTTTATTCACATAGTTAGCAATTTTGGTACTCTTAATTTTGTGTAGATCCAGATTTTCATCTGGTAGCATTTTCCTTCTGCTTCAAAGACTTTTTAAAAAATCCTCACCTTTGAATATGCATCATTGATCTTAGAGAGAGGGGAAGGGAAAGAGAGAGAGAGAGATCACTCGGTTGCCTCCCACATGTACCCCGACTGGGGATTGAACTTGCAACTTAGGTATGTGCCCTAACCAAGAGTCAAACCTGCAACCTTTTGGTGTATGGGATGACACTAAACCAACTGAACCATACCAGCCAGGGTTCAAAGACTTTCTTAGTCATTTCTTCTAGTATAGGCTTGCTGATGATGAATTCTTTCAATTTTTGTATGTTCAATAAAGTCTTGATTTTGCCCTCATTTTTGAAATACAGTTTTTCTGGGTAAAGAATTCTTATATTATTTTCCTTTTAGTACTTAAAAAGTGTTAATTCCACTGCTTTCTGACTTGCATTATTTCCAACAAGAAATCTTGCTCTATCCTAATCTTGTTCCTCTATACAAAGGCTTCTGTATGACTTCTTTGACTCTGTCTGTATATCATTAGTTTTAAGTAATTAGATTATGATGAGCCTTTGTGTGGTTTTCTTCATGTTTCTTGTACTTGGGCTTCATTATGTTTTTAGGATCTATGGTTTTATAGTTTTCATTAAGTTTGGAAAATTTTGGGCTTTTATTCCTTAAAATATTTTTTCTCCCACACTATCCTAATGTATTCCAATTAAAGGTATATTAGACCACTTAGTGCTGTCCCACAGCTTACTGATGTTCTCTTTCTTTTTTCCTCACTTTTTTATCTCTGTATTTTACTGTACAGTTTCTATTGCTGTCTTCAAGTTCACTACTCTTTTATCTGCAAGTTTAATTTGTCATAAGTACCATCCAGTGGTATTTTTTTTAAAATCTGAATAATCTCTCATCATTCATCTTGTGTCTTTTTCATCTTTTCCATATATCCTTTTTATTTCTGCCAGACATATTCCTTTCCTCTATTTCTTGAACATATGCAACATAGTTACAATAGCTATTTTATTGTCTTTGTCTACTAATTCTATTATCTGTGTTATTTCTGGGTCAGTTTTCATTGATTGATGATTTTCTTCATTATGAGTTGTATTTTTCTGTTTCTTTGCATGCCTGGTAATTTTTGTTTCCATACCAGACAAATTAATTTTACCTGGTTGAGTGTTGGATATTTTCATATTCTTATAAACATTCTTAAAATTTGTTCTAGGACACCCTTAAGTTACTTGAAACAATTTTATTCTCTTCAGGTCTTGCATTTAAATTTTGTTCAGTGGGGCCCTGGCTGGTGTGGCTTAGTGATAGAGCATCAGCCTGTGCACCAAAGGTTTGCTTCCCAGTCAAGTGGATTGATTCTCAGTCAAGCACGCGTACCTGGGTTGCAGGTTGGATCCCTGGTCCCAGTCAAGGAGGGTATGGGAGGTAGCCAATCCATGTGTATCTCTCACATCAATGTTTCTCTCTCTCTCCCTCTCTCTCTCTCTCTCTCTCTCTCTCTCCCCCTCCCCCCTAAATAAACAAATAAAAGGATTTTAAATTTTGTTCAGTAGGTCCAGAGTAGTGTTAAATGAAAGGCTGATTGTTTCACATTACTGAGGCAAAACTCTCCTGAATACTCTGATATTATGGGGTTTTCCACCTTGGCTTGGGGGAATAGGCACAATCCTCAGCATTATGTGAGCTTTGGGGAGTGTTCCTTCTCCTTTCAGGTACTTTTTTTTTTCCTGTCCTCACATGGATGTGATAATCAGTACTCAGCTGAATACTCAGGGGAACCTCTGCTCATCTCCAGCTCTCTCTCTGTGCAGCTCTCTCTCTTGGTACACTGGTTCATGGGTTGACACTCAACCACTGAGCCACACTGGTAGGGCTCTTTGTCTTCTTGAGGTTTGAATCATTTAAGTATTCTGAGTACAAATTCTCATTTGCATTGCAAACATATTCTCAAAGTTTGTGGCTTGGGGAATGATTAAATTTTTAATTATTTTTTTAAGTTTCAAAAGACAGTTACTCAATTCCTGCCCTGTGCCAGGTATTCAGGAAAAGTAAGCACTCTTTGGCCTTTATCTTACCTGGTTTCCTTCTCTCGTTTCATTTCTTAATGGCAGCAACGTGTTTCTGTATTAATAGACTGCTATCCCCATGGCT